TGGTTTAGAGCTTAAATCTAACCTACTTGGTCAATTTGAAGTTCATATTAGGCCGGGGCGAGCCTCGACTGCCGGCCAGACAGATAGCTCAGTGATAACGAATTCCATGGTGAGTAGCATAGGCGGCTGCAGGGGCAGGCAATGAGGGCAATGCCCTACTAGAATTTCTTACCGGAAGATGACATCATCATAATTAGCAGTTAATTAATAATTAATTAGTAGTTATTACATGGAATATAGCTATTTTAATCACAAAAACTATATTATTTTGCTCAACAAAGTGATAATTAATGGAGAATAAGCTGCTAACTGCATGGTTTAATCACAGGAAGCCAGTCAACCACTTCATAGGTCCATATCTATGGCCACTTCAGGAAGGCATAATCTACAGTAAACAGGCTGCAGCTAGAATAACTGACTCCATCACAATAGCAGCTTCATTATTAGTCAGCTAGGACTCATTCAACAGCTAAATCACCTAGCTACTGATACTCTATCATTGATAGAGGTCTTTTAGGTACTGAATTTTCTCCTCTTGAACACAAGAATGGCAGAGTAACTCTTGATTGAGAATTTCAGAGCCTTTTTTAGCTTGATTTTTTCACAAAATGCTGAAATAGAGCTCTTAACAGTCTTAAAACTCAAGAACAAGACATGTGGGTGTGGTTATAACCACACCTACTTTATGGCCACTCCCACTTTCAGCCACACCTTTGCCCTACTTGCAGTGAAATCCTGCAGCCGCCTATGGTGAGTAGAGTTATGGTGAGTCTTAATTTCAGTCTCATACTGCCAAATAGCATATTTACCTTCCTTTAGGAACTACTCTACATAAGGAACAGGCTGACTACTGGCTGCCTGATGATCAGTAGCAGGCGGCTGAAACTCGGCCCGTATTGAGGTCCCACTATTTTGATCAGTGAGCTGTTACTTCAAGACAATAGCATAAATAATGATTATATACATTCAAATTTGTTAATAAATTGACTTTTATTTCTGTAAGAATGAGTAAAACTGCCTCTCTCAACTCTCTAGTTCTACTTTCTCTTCACATTCTTGACTATTCACTGCTATATTCTTCCAATGCTCACTTCTTGCCTTGGAAGGACAAGTAACAACCTATAGAGGTGATTTTCCTTGTAAATTGCTTGCTGCAGCCTTTTCAGTCTCCAAAACAACAAGGCCTCCATTGAACTCCATTGCATTCAGCCTCCAGTTGTCCTCCAAGATGGCCGACAGGATATTAAAATTATTCTGTGACGTCACGTGCAATGGGTCTATATCTATAAAGCGATTGGAAACTGCGTGGGCGGCCTGTATAAACCAATGGAGGTTGAAGTTATCACTTCCCGCATCCTAGTTTCTCCTTAGCAACGGGAGAGGTCCACATTTCTCTGTTCATAACTTGGTCCCAGTAGTTGCAAAAAATCAACAAAAATATGCATAAAATACCTTATAACTTCTATATTTATCAATCCAAATTTCATACAGTTATTCAAAAGTAACAAACTGTTTCATTCATTACTAACAGCGGGTGTCAAGCGGGACCTCTTTTCTGATGTTCTGTACCTTTTACTAAAATGTCTCTTGTTTTACAACAAAGTAGCAAGGATAGAACAATCAAGCGCTTTGAGCTGCGTGGAACTAGGGTATTCTCAGACTTGTAGTTCATACATCTTTTCCAGAAACTCAATACTCTAATATCTATGGTTTGGGTGGGGCTGGTATTTTGCAAGAATGGCATCTAAAAGTGAGGGCCACTATTCTCTTCTCTTTGTATCTCTTTCATTCATTCTTTGTCTCTCTTACTCTCTCACTTACTTTACTCCTCTGTATCCTGTCCTTATTCTAACTCATCACTATATTACTGCTACGGTTACTCTGTTACTGGTACCTCTTGTTCTCTATAGACTATCAACCAGTGGAGAGATGGGGACACTCCACAATAAAGGTAGGAGACTACCTATATATGTGGGGTGGGGAGGGGTCTGGAGTAGACTATGATGTGATGGAGGTGTATCACTTACCAACTGGTGGTTGGGACCAGAAACCTACTACTGGTACCCCACCACCAGGTACCAGGGGCTACTCATCTGTCGCCATAGGAAAGGACATATATTATTTTGGTGGGCGTAAAGTTATTGATCAAAACAGCTTACATTGTTTCAATGTGGATTCATTGAAGTGGAGGGAACTGTCTCCTTCTAGTTCTGATCGTGATCCAATGATGAAGGCCTACTGTGGAATAATATCAGCTAATTTTGATGGTGAAGACTATCTTTTAATAATTGGAGGAAGGAACTACTCTTCTATCAATACTCCAAAACAACCTGATGCTCAGTATTCAGCTGATGGTAGATGTAATGAGATACATTATTACAGGATTTCATCAGGTTAGTAATTCTCATCATTGATACACAATAGTTGATGAGTATTTCAAACTGAATAATTTATATAAATGTACATAAAACAGATTGTTAATAATTAAGTGTGTTTGTTAGTGTGTCTCTGTGTGTCATGTGTTTGTGTGTGATGGTGACGTGTGTCTATATGTGACGTGTGTGTGTGTACTAATACATACATTATGATGTGTCTGTGTATGATAGTGCATATAATGTATGTGAGAATTTATGAATGTATGACGTGTGTATGTGACGTGTATCTATAATGTGCATGTTATGTGTGTGTTAGTATTATCATATATCTGTGTGTGTGTGATGTTTGTATATGTACCGGGGTACATGTATCTATACATAAGCTAATGTGACATGAGTGTGTGTGTGTGTGTGTGTGTGTAGGTTCATGTTATTTATTATCATTTTTAATAAAGTTCTGTATCACATGAGTCACAAATTACCCACATACAATGTTCCATGAGTTTTGTATAATTATTCATTAACAATCACGAGACACCTACGGTGCATGGCCTCGCCCCTATAGCTGCTATGGTGCATGCCCGCACTTCAATAACTGTTTGATTAGCAGCATGAAGAGAGTCTGCTCAACACTAGCTTCCTACAGTTGCACTTGCTCTTGAATACCTGCAGAAGTAGCAGCAATGCAGCACATACATGCATGCAGCTCCAGCCCCTCCCATGCATGTAGATTGAAAGGTGTGGCATTCCATGACTGGAATGAGTGGCAGCAAGAAGACCATGTGAGAAAGAAGCTTCACTTTTTCTTTACTAATCAGCAATATATGATAAACTTGCTGACAAAAAAAGTTGCTGCCTTTGTATATTTGAGATAATATAGGTACTTTAGTACCTATAACCCAGCAAGTTGTTGCTCTAGCGCTGCACAAACGAGTGACCTCAACAATTTCAAGTAAGTATAACTCTTCATCAAGTAAGATTTAGAGAAATCTGTTCATAATTTTTGAAGGCCATGTTCTAATCTAC